CAGATGCCAGAAATGAACTTTCTGAGTGCAGTGTTACTATTACAAAGAGGGATAATGATGAAAACCTAAAAATGAGTCACAAGTAGTGACTGTGTCCTTCAGGAGAAATACTTTGATGGAATGAAATGATTGGATGATGGTAGTGATAGAGCCCTCACCATTGGATGTAGTGAGGAGAAGAAGGCAGCACTCCAACTGAAGCCTGCCACAGTTTTCTGCTTCTCCCTTCAGAGTAGAGGAGGAAGGTTGAAGGGGATGGGAGAGAGTGCGGGGGACAGCCATTCATCCTGAACTGAGGGAAGCTTTCCAAATCTCCCCCCTGACATTCTTCTGGGCTCAAAGAAGCCCAGGGACAGAAGTGGGCTAAAACTGGCACAGACCGCCTTGGTGTTGCCAAGGGCAGCCACTTTGCCGAGACGTTGCTGGGGCCCAGTGCTGTTTTGTCTTCCCTTCTCACCTCACTTCCTGGTTTGGAAGTAGGCTGGAGGATCATTAACCGCCAGAGGCACCACATACTATACTGTATGTCCAGACCAACACAACTTCATTCTGTTAGCTCTTTATTCTTCACTGGCAAACAGCGGTGTGGCTTTTCTTATTTCACTAGAGACAACATCTATTCAGGTTTGTTCTCAGGTTGTAACCTGAAGCAAAGAATGTTCATAGCTGACGTAGTTACACACAGTTAATAAACAGGGTCCCACTGTTCCATGTGTGCGCTCCATCGCTACAGTTTACAGAATACCTTTGCGATTAAAATTGTTACATTCTAACTAGTCACTGAATCAGTGGTGTGTTTTTATGTATGAAAGGTGCAAAGTGCAAAAGGTGTCACCCATCAGATTTTATATACAGTTATTGGGAGACCTGTGTAAAAATCAAAACATTTATTACCGTAGAATCAAAGTTTTACCGTAATCCTCGGTCTATCTCTACATCATGCTTCCAAGATCAAGTAAACTAACACCTTTTAAGACTTTTTGACTTTTTTAATTATCGTGCCTGTCTATACCATGAGTAGGCATTTGCAGAATGAATTATTTAATTATACTGATATCTGAAACTTTTTAGAGTACAGGGTATGAAGGATCCACAGAGTTGGAAGAAAAGAATCAGACACTATCACAGCCAACTGTCTAACATACCACTGGGATCAGTTTGTCAAAGACGATTGGCTCAAATGTGTTGCTAATTGAGTCTGATACTGAGATTATAAAGATAGTGTCTGTGTGGCTGTTTAAAATGTGAGCCTAGATCTTATTCATTCATATAAAGTTTTCACAGTTGACCACCATGCACCATTCATTTTACACTTACACATTACACAAAGGCATCTTATTCATAGTATAGCTCTAAGTTATATATTTACACGGTTCTTACACAGCATTTAAACACTTACCAGATAATGTGTAGGTCTGCCTTACAGTTTCAGTTGCTTTCCTGTGAACATGGATATAGCACATCTAAACACATGCTGTGGTTTCCTGTATTGGGGCTTAGGCAGAGGTGCCTTTGGGTCCTCTCTTCAGGTTCCCGTCACAGTGTAGTAAGGTTTGGTACCAAAACTACAGGGTATGGTTTAAGAAAAGTTTATCCTCCATTCTACCACATTAACCATATCTCAGTACCTGTCTTTGATTGACTGAGAGATAGACGAATAAAGTCATCTACAGCTAAACTAAGAACTACAGGAAAAATGAAAAGAAGGCAGTAACAAGCGTCAGAAAATAACAAAACTCACAAGCAAAAAGGTACAAAATAACACCCCAAAGAAAACTATAAAATAATACAGAACATGAATTTTAATCACTTCTCAAAACCTAAAAAGAATTGATGAGCTAAGAGAAAACCAGAAAACCAAGGGCCCCAGACTCAGGGACCATGACAGTTGCTCTGTGTAAATCTATGCATATTTTAGGTGGAGATAATCAGTGATGGTCAACACAAGTTTCTGAAATCTGCTTTTCCCTCACAGAAGCATCTGAAGCTGCTGCACCAACACAAATAAACTTTAATGCCTTTCATCATTTTGTTCTTAGACTGCACTATGGCAATACTGACAATATAAAGTACACAGTTACTACAGTTTAACAGATAATAGGCTGCATAGCACGTTCTATTAGGATACATTTATGTTTGTTTTTGTTTTTCAGATTTGTAGACATTTGTTCTGACAAATCTCTGTCTGAGCAATTTCAGGTGTTGAATAACTGTTGTCACATGATTCTTTGTCAGTTTCTCTTCAAATACCAAGGCAGAGTCATCGAACATGACTCAATGTGTTGGCCTACACATCTTCACTGTAATCACATAAATATACAGTCTGCCATTCTTTAGAAAACATCTTTAGATTCACTGTATTAACTCAATGTACTGCATCATGTGAACTAAATCTAAGAATGAATCCTCTTAGCTCCAGAATCCTCTTAAGAAGTTTCCATTCTCTCTGCCTGCCTGAGCAGCACCAGACCATTGCAGTGTCAACTCCACTATAAGCGATAAGAGTTCAGTATCAATTTCAGGAACCTTCAGGAGGTTAATAGGAAAGGAATTAAGGAATCAATTTAACAGAAAACCAAATTTACAATTAAGAAACATTTCCCAGTACCACAGTCTGAACTGTCAGTCCTACAAGAATAACTGCCTTCTGTATGGATCCAACTTGAATTGGTTTGTTTCTAGTATGAAATTATTTTTCAGATAGTTGCTGTGTTAAAATGCCTGTGATAATGCATTCTGAAGTCTCCTATAGTTCAATTCTGTTTTATTTATATAGTGCCAAATCACAAGAACAGTTACCTCAAGGTGTTTTACATTGTAAGGTAATAATACAGAGAAAACCTTAACATTCAAATGATGCCCTGTGAGCAAGCTCTTGGTGAAGTGAAGGGATTTAAACAGGAAGAAATGTCTATAAGTCATCAGAGCATTTTGTAAAAGGAAACAAACGAAGCCTAAGCTCTGATTTTCAACTCTCACATGCTGAATCAAAACTGAATTCTAATAGAAAATAGCTGATTTTCTACTTTTTGTTGGGCACCAAACACAAAGGTTACATGTATTTCACTAGTGTCACTTCAATGAGACACATTCGTTCAACAACTAATTGTGTCAGAAAAGAAAAAATATCACTTTCTTTAATCACAAACTGGAATATTTTAATACGCCTCTCTAAAATAAAATAAAAAGTGTCACTTTCCTTTGCTGCATCAGTAGATTTTCAAAATGTAAAAACCGATGGGCTCCATCAGCCTGATGGGCTCCATCAGTCAGCCTGTGACCCTGACTGATGGAGTGATAGAATTTAAAACACAGCAATGAAGCATGACATTGAACCACTAAAGGTAAAATTTCTGTAATTTGAAATAAAATAACTGTAATTGTAAGATTCTTGGTTAACAACAATAATTAAATTTTACCATTAAAAATATAATTTTGTTTCCTTGTGTAAGGAAGCTTGTGCTTATTGGTGGATTAGCCATTACAGAAACATAGCAAACTATTTTAGTACTTATCAATGCTCTGCACTAAACCTTATATTAAGCAGCGGTCTGATACATTTTTTAAGCACTCCAATGTGCCACTTTTTAAAATGCAATACTCGTGAGTGCAAAAAGCCGACTGACTTTATTAACCTCTAAGTGCAACTGCAGTGCTGAGTGATCATTCTGTGAGGTCTGATTATTGTTAAATTTAAAAAAAATTATGCAAGAAATGTGTCAGACAGTAGTTAGACACAGCCTGTCTGTTTTAGTGTTATATTAATTTAACAGTGTGTTAAAGAAAACGGAAATGTAAATGGTAAATGGTCTGTATTTGTATAGCGCTTTACTTGGTCCTAAGGACCCCAAAGTGCTTTACACTACACACAATCATCCACACATTCACACACAAATGTAGTTAAACTTTAAATCACTTTTTTGTAAAACAACACATTTTCATTGGTAGCCTGCCACCACAACATCCTGTTTGATCAATGAATAGATAGATGCTCATGTAACCTGGACGTGTGTCCCTCTATCTATAAAGAGATGATCTATACTGCTCGCCCAAGTGCAATGTCTACAATATCCGAATCTAGGTTTGGGAAGGAGATTGGCGGTAGCAACTCTGTAATGAGCAGCAATGAGACTTCCAACCCACATAACACGCACGACCACAGGTTTGTGAAACAAAGTTTGCTTTATATATTTTCTTTTGGATCAGTTCCCTTTGCTCATCCTAAATGTAGGGATACCTTCAAACGCAGTAACCATCTCAAATGCATCACAAAAATAATTGAAACAATCAAAATAGATGTAAGACAAGAAACACAATATTTCAACACCCCAAAGAAAAGGAAAAAAAAGAAAATAGCATGTGAGTGTCCAGTTCCTTATGGTGTCAGTTTATTCAGTTACCCACTGTCCTGGGTTAAAAACTGAAAACGACCTGAATCTCAGGCGGAGAAAAAAGTAGCAAAGAAAATGATAAGGTATCTCTCAGGTGGGCCTCCTTTTGTTTTTTTCCCTACCGCCCTCCTGGTACGGCAGGCATCAACGTGTCGGCGTCCTGACACAGAGAAGGCCTCCACAGCAGCAACAGTGTCTTAGACCCACGATACCAGCTCCTCACTTGGCACCCATGGAACTGCACCTCAAAAAAAAACAGTCTGCACACAAATAAGCAGAATGTTAGATGTCCACATTCCTTAAATGTCCTTGTTCCTAATGTCCTTGGTTCTTTTGAAATATTAAAATAAATTTGCATCTTGTGACACATTAAAAGTAAATACACCGTATTACTGTGCATCACCCGCAGTTACAGTAACAGCACAGCTATTGCACGTCAACTGCGCATAACCACTTAGCTGGCCGCAGCTGAACTAGCAGGCCCAAGAAAGTAAAAACATTAGACACTCATAATAAACAAAACTGTCACAACATTGCAATACTATGAAAACACATCTTAAACATCATTAAACACATTTACTACTATTCTGACTGGTTAGTTACAGAATAGTTCAAAAAGTTCGAAGAAATACTCCGACTCCTTTCAGGTAGGTACCCGTCTGTGGTTCACCGCTAACGACAGCTCTCTCACAAATGTTAATTGAACCTCTTTTCTCTCTTTCAACTGGAAAAAACCGTGCTCCGCGGCAGCATGGAGTTTTTCCTTGCCGTCCTTTTTCCTCTACACCACACCTTCACGCGCACGAAGCTGCAGATGGTGCCTTCAGGGCAAGCCCGGAAATTAAACTATCAAACAAGTACTACGATGCATTCAAAGAACCCTGTACTTCTGATTGCTGTAAATCTTACCAGGGTTACATTCTCCCCCTCTAGACTACATGAGTCCCAGCATGCATACCTGCCCCTACCGGTACAGACACATGTGAAATAGCAGCCCCTAAAGCCTGAAAGAATGAACTAATGGCCAAGGTTAAAGGCTCCCCCAGCTCATCGTAGGTGAGTTTCCGAGGCGGACGTCTCTCCCTAGTAGAACGCCGGACACTTGCGATCTCGGACTCTTGACTCTCAGATACTACATTGTCAGTGTCTGCAACTACAGGGTCTGTGGTGATGAGATCTGTGTTCTCTTCATCAGGTGAGATTTGTGTCACATCAGGTTCAAGAATATCAATGACAATATGGTCCGGAGTCCTACAGTGTGAAGTAGGATGTGTAACTGAACCACTATTCTCAGAGCTAACATAAGGAGTTCCTGGTTGAAGCTCGTGAGTAGGTCTTTCAGGTAAGTGTGTGGAACTTTGGGGCACAAAAGAAGGGGTGTCTGGGTTTAATACCCTGGAAACTGGCTGAGGCTCATTGAAGCCTCCTTCCCTCTGCAGGAAAGGACTCTTCGTGATGATTTCTGGCATCCATGTATTAGGATACAGTTCATCTTCATCACTGTACGACTCGTCCTCCTGACAATCAGTGTCCCCTTGCACGCCTTTTGTTGTTTTGCCCCTCAGTCTCATCTTTCTCGATGCGTCAGTGGAAGAACTTTGCTCTCTGATCTCAGTTACAGGTAGGAACCCGCACGGCAAAAGAAGGTCTCTATGCAACGTACGGTGTGACCCCTCCCCTGTCTCAGGTTTGACTACATAAACAGGACTGTCACTAATCCGTCTGACAACAACATGGATTTTCTGTTCCCACCGATCTGCCAGTTTGTGTTTCCCCCTGATATTCACATTTCTCACTAAGACCCTATCCCCTTCTAAGAGTTCAGCTGCCCTGACCTCCCTGTCAAACCTAGCCTTGTTCTTCTCTCCCATCTTCTTGGCATTTTTAGCAGCTAATGAGTAGCTCTCCTGTAGGCGTTGACGAAGGCCCTTGACATACTCTGAGTGGGTCTTGTGACTTGCCATATCAGGTTGGATTCCCAGGACAAGATCAATTGGCAGTCTGGGCTGCCTACCAAACATTAGTTCGTAAGGCGAATAGCCTGTTGTACTGTTTCTCGTGCAATTGTATGCGTGGACCAGAGGTTTGACAAAATCTCTCCAATGATATTTGTCTCTCTCTTCCAGGGTCCCTAGCATACCAAGGAGGGTCCGGTTAAATCGTTCCACTGGGTTTCCCCGGGGATGGTACGGGGTGGTACGAACTTTGTCTGCTCCAATCAGTGTGCAGAGTTCTCTGATCGTCTTAGACTCAAAGTCCCTGCCCTGGTCGCTGAGCAGACGACTGGGGAACCC